GTGTGCGTTTTCCATGTGTGTTTTGTGTATTTATCCCCATACACATATAATAATGAGATGCAACAATTGAAAGTTAACACACTAAAATGATCAATCATAGAACACAAAGTGGGTGGTCTCAGCATGCTAACCTGGATTTCGTTATCTTGTCAAGTATGTATTGAGCTTACCTAGGATATGGGTTAAGCTTTGCACCTCCTACTGGTAACAGTAATTATGTAGATCTTGCTAAGTCTTTATGCAATTTATAGTAGTGGTTGTGATGGTGGTAGAGGGTGGTAGTGATGGTGGTAGAGGGTAGTAGTGATGGTGGTAGAGGGTAGTAGTGATGGTGGTAGAGGGTGGTAGTGATGGTGGTAGAGGGTGGTAGTGATGGTGGTAGAGGGAAGTAGTGATGGTGGTAGAGGGTAGTAGTGATGGTGGTAGAGGGTAGTAGTGATGGTGGTAGAGGGTGGTAGTGATGGTGGTAGAGGGTAGTAGTGATGGTGATATAGGGTGGTAGCGGGAGATAGTGTTCTGGCGGCGATAATTTGCAAAAAGGCAGTTGCATACAGATCTCATAAAGAATATGCTAACAGTAGTCTTCAATAAAAGTAAAAGTGATTCAAATGTTTATTTATCCATTAAAATTAGTGCTTTATATTTATTTCTCACTGTTTTCTGTATGTAAAACTATAGTTATTCTCTATAAATGTATTTTTGTTAATATTTTTGGGTGTCTGGATTTACATTATGTACATTATTTATGGGAAATAATACTTCGGTTTTCGTCCATTTTGGATTTCGACTGAACTTCTGAAATGGATTAAGGATGAAAACCGTGGTTCCACTGTGTGTGTGTGTGTGTGTGTGTGTGTGTGTGTGTGTGTGTGTGTGTGTGTGTGTGTGTGTGTGTGTGTGTGTGTGTGTGTGTGTGTGTGTGTGTGTATGTGTATATACAGTGGAACCCTGAATATCGGTCGTTGTGTTTATGGGCCGAATCACATTTAGGCCAGATTTTTGGTGGAAATTTTGCTCCGTATCTCGGCTGGTGGCTTGCAAAATGGCTGTACCAGACGTGTCAACCCACCTCCTGCCGGGACGCCATGCATAGGTGAGTCAGTCTCCCTGTCTCTCGGTGAATGAGCATATACGTACTACTCGTATTTATCCAAACATTTCCTTAAAATCCATTGGTTTTGGTGGTTGCTTATTCAGTGCGACTGTGAAATAAGCCACCATGGGCCCAAAGAAAGTTCCTAATAAAGTTCCTTTGGTAAAGAAAGTGAGAAACACAATGGAATTTAAGAAAGATGTTACAGTGAAACCCCGGGTTTCGGCCACCTTGAGAATTGGCCACTTCGGGTTTTGACCGCTTTTTTCGGCCAAATTTTGTCTCGCATTTCCGCCATTGCCCTGGGTTTCAGCCGGCATACCAGATCTGTCCACCTGCCTGTGCTTGTGCACCTGCCCACACTGCCGCACCTGCCCACGCAGGAGTCGTGAGCCAGTCTAGCTTTGTTTATCCTTGAGTGAACATTATCCTGTGTGCTCATCCAAACATTTCATAATAAATTCACTGTGTTTAGTGCTTGTTTATTGGTTGTGACTATGAAATAATTGAAGAAAGAAAATGTAGCAAAGTACCAAAGTGGAGGAGGAAGAAAGAGGGGAGAATGTGCCTTCTTCGGTGATTCTATATGCACGATACGAAAGCAGCACGAGTCAATAAAGGCTATAGCGCTAGCCAGCGATAAAGTGTAGCATTAACAGCGTAATGAGTAAGTTAAGCAATTAATCGATAGAAAAAGGATGGCATGAAACTGACTCCTCCAATGTTGTTGGAGTTAAATAGGGCGATTGACAAGACCACCGTCTCTGATGCCACCATAACCACCACTATGTAAGGCTTATCTTTCAGTGGCCCCTATACACCCAACAACACAGCAACACTCGTTGGTTAGGGAGAGAGACATATGACATATTTTATACATTCTAGAGTATATATCATGTTTCTATATTATTAACATTGTTTATTATGTCACATTAGACGAATTATGCTAGATAAAATAAGCCGTAGAGTTGACATTAGTGTCATATTGAAAGACTATCTTGTCCTGCCTCCAAACAAACTTTCCTGCCTCTCTCATATGCCAACAAGAGTCTTCAATAAAGGTAAAACTGATTTAAATGTTCATTTATCCATTAAAATTAGTGCTTTATATTTATTTCTCATTGTTTTCTGTATGTAAAACTATAGCAATTATTCTTCAAAAAAAATTAATTTTTATGTGAATATTTTTGGGTGGAACCAATTAATTGGCTTTACATTATTTCTTATGGGAAATACTGCTTCGACTTTAGGCCTAGCTCTTGGAACGGATTACGGCCGAAACTCAGGGTTCCATTGTACTGAAAAATGTGAGAGTGGTGTGTAGGTGCTGGAACTTGCCAGCATGTATGGGAAATCCAAATCAACAATCGCTTCCATCCTGGCAAAGAAAGAACAAATCAAGGAAGCTGATGTGGCAAAAGGGGTAAACATGTTAATGAAAAAATGATCACAAACAATGGAAGATGTGGAGAAGCTGTTGTTGTGGATCAGCAAAAAACAGTTAGCGGGAGATAGTTTCAGAGATGATCATTTGTGAAAAGGCAAGGCCGTTGCATGCAGGTCTCGTAAAGACAATGCCTGGAATTAGTGCTGATGTTAGTGAATTTAAGGCCAGCAGAGGCTGGTTTGACAGATTTAACATGCATAGTGGCATACACAGTGTTGCAAGGCATGGTTAGGCTGCAAGTTCAAACAAACATGCGGCTGAAAAATCTGTGCAGAAATTCAAGGGGTACATAGAGACTGAAGAATTCCACCCCCAACAAGTGTTCAATTGTGATGAAACAGGCCTCTTTTGGAAGAAAATGCCAAACAGGACCTACATCATGCAGGAGGAAAAGGC